ACCTTTCCTATTCACATACCTGTCCAAATGTTGTTTAAATGTTGTAACTGTACCTGCATCTACCACTTCCTCCGGCAGTTCATTCTACATAATAGCAACCTTCTGTGTGAATTCTTGAAGTTGCAATGGGGAAAAGGACAGGGCAAGCAGTTTTCAAGATCATGTTATAGGTTTCTCTTCAAATCGATGTATATCACAGACAGAGGTTCTCTGTGATTAACAGAGAGAAAAAGGCAGCTTGGCTTTGCAAGCCACCACAACCAGATGTGGGAAATGAGCGTCTTTAATTGAAGATTCACTTCCTGCAGTCTTCTGCAGATTGTGGGAAATTTGTTCTAGCAAAGCTGGTGGAAGAAGAATCATCAAAACAACGTTTACTGCTGTTGCTGAATCTAAGAAACTCCAAAACTGACCAAAGCACCTGGAGATAGAAACAATGATAGGGGGACCCATTGGAAGCAGGAAGTAACCGTAGAGTGTTTGGTTGAAATGACTCTGATTCTGTGGATTAGTGTGATAAGTAATAAGTTCACAAGTGGAATTTCACTTTCTGTGTTTTGAAGTATAGCTTGCCTACAAAAAGAAAATAGTGTTTGGTGATTTTTTTTCGTTCTGTTACAAAGTTTAGAACGTAATCTTGTTCATTCTTTCAGCTATCAGCGAGAAGTTTGGATCACATTGTTTAAAAGTTATAGATGTCTACAGCAATCATAACAGTTAAAACTGGTATTCAAATTGCTAGCATTTTTAAAAATTGGCTGTTCAATCTGTTGTATACTGTGTCAAGATCTCCATGTCATAAACAAGTGGCAAAATATCAACATAAAACAATGTTAGGCTGCAGAATGGTAGTTACAGAATGAATCACAATCAGCAGACAGTTAGATTGAATGCTGTATAAATTGCACTTTACCTGGCAGTAGTGTATTCTCTCTGGTTGGTTAATTCTTTGCTTGTGGGGTCTCACTTTCTCAAAATGTTTGAATTCTGCAAGTTTTTAAAAGTGCCTGGAAAACCCAATGAGCTGTGTAAATATTTTTGTAAAATGCAGCATTTTCACTGGAGTTACACTCAATACCAACCTTAAGCCAAATAGTTTTCTGGATGGGATCCTGTAAATTTTGGTTTTAGTGCGTTCTGGAGTCAGACTGGAATCTGTCCCTGAAGCTATGCTGCCCCAATTTCATTGGGGGACAGTCAAAGTTGTTTTACGTCAAAATAAAACTGGTTCTGTAACTGCACCAAGACTTTCAATGTCTTTTGATTAATTTATTTTATGGATGCATGGAGTATTCACATAGGAAAGAAGGCGGGGAAATGTTTCTTGGCTTAATTCACTAAACATTTTTTGGAGATTAAACAATCTCTTAAACTGCAGATTTGAATGTTTTGTTGAACTTGTATATATAAATTCAGGGCTTACTGATTACAATTCGTCTAATGTTTTGCTGTGGGAAATTTATTTTGTTCAAATTTCAGCCACAAGTGTAAAAAGCTGACTCTATCCACTAGCCAACTTGCCTGTCTTCATGAAGCACGTCAAATAAAGATCTATAACTCCTGTGCCTGATGGTGACTGTAGAAATCTTAAAAGCATTTTTTGCTCTGCAGCAGGTAAATGTCAAACAGAATGCAAATTGCATTGTCTGCATTTCACCATTATTCTGTTGCTATGTGCTAAGGATGCATAAAAGCTATAGTTTTTAACTCAGCACTCTAAAATAACTGATAAACAGTTCATTAGTTATCACTTGATAATTTAACAAATCATTTATTCTTAGCATGACCCAAATACATTTATTATTGTTTCCTTGCTTTTCTATCTGTTGTCTCCATTGACAAAAAGACTGAAGGTGATCACATGATAAGCTATATATAGGCCATGGAATGGAGGCGATCATATGGTTGAGACTGACAAGTCTCAAAGGAATTTGTGTCCCAAATTTTCCTTTATCATTAATGGACTTAGCTTACAAATGGAGCTTTGCTTAATTCAATCAATAAGTGACAATTAACTCTAAAAGTAACTGAAATACTTTCCCCTAAAAGATCAAATCATACCCTTTTATATCAGAAAATTTCTCTGATTTTTAAATGGCTGTGTGAATAAGAGGTCATCATAAAAAAAAATTGAAGGACATTATTACACGGATCTCCTGACACCTTGTGGTCATAGAATATTACAGCATTCTGGAAGTACTGCATTGGAGCGCTCATCAAATTTGTTTCTTTAATTCAAGATTAAGTTTAAAGCTTTGAGTATTGAGTACACCCCCAGTGTCAGTATAATTGAGCTGTGTATGCCATTGCTATTGCAGTTTCCATGGAGATTGTCGAATGAGATCATTGTGACCTGGTATGAAGTGTGTCAGTAAGAAGTCTCCCAAGGAACAATGCCAAGTCGCCACTATGTTCAGTCTGTACTGTAAATGTAAAGCAGAGAATTGCAACAAATTGGTGTTTTCTTAAGCAATAAATTATGTCACAACTGTTTAAGTATTAAATATTTAATAACCTCTGGTGTGTATTTCTGATTTGCACGGACAGTGTTTTATATCATCTGAAATGGAGGCATGAATGGCATGCATTCTCAGGAGACTGTTAAGTTGAATATGGCCTTTAGTAAAATATACACAACGCATTGTATATTCATCATTTGCTTTAAAATTGGTCCCAATTTGTGAACATTAATATTGCTTTTGCCAGTTTTGTCAAACAGCTAAAACTGCTTTCTTGAATATGAATGGGGTAGCAATAGTTTGGTCAATGAGTGTGTTTTCCAATTCCCCTAAGGTGAAACGCCAGCTACAGCCGAAGGTCTGAGGGCACGCTGATTCTCGGCTTTTGCCAAAGACTTTCCAAACTGGTCACTTATTGTTAATTCCGTCCATAATATCAAGATAGACTGCAGTGATTCAACAAGACAGGTCACCACTACCTTTGAAGCATAGCTAGGGATGGACAATAAATGTTGGCCCAGCCAATGAAGTCCACATCCCCTGCCTGAATAAAAACAAAATGATATGGCTTCTAGACTATCCAAACATTTCTAACAAGGCCACTGCTCTTTGCACAGTATTAATCAATAGGAGTATGGTTGAGAAAGGTGACTTGACAAAATGGATTGGACTCATCTATATTGCAATCTCATTATTTTGAATCTGTTTTTCTAATCATCCTGTTCCAAGTGTTATTACATACCTCTGGAGCAGATGGGTCTTGAAACCAGGCCTCTCCTTCCAGGGGTGAGGACAGTACCAATGTGCCACAAGAGGCCCCCTGAAGATTTGATGGGACAAGCTACTGGCAAAAGTGGCAGCAGCCATGAACAGTTTTAACTACAAAAGTCAAATACTGCAAAGGACTCTTGTGGTCAGTTGTAGTATTCCAACCTCTTCTCCAGGAGGGCCTGTGTTCATGTCCCACCTGCTCCAGAGGTGTGTTGTAACATTTCTGAAATGGTTGATTCAAAATTTACAAAATACTACAGATGCTGGAAATCTGAAGTAAAAATAGGAAATTTTGGAAATACATAGAAGTCAGGCAGCATGCGTGGAGAGAGAAAAACCAAGTTACTGTTTCTAGTTGATTGCATTACATCACAACTCATTGATGATTAGCTGGTCATATTCTTTTCAAAATTAGTTTGTCTTCTCCAAATTCCACTTGGCAAATAACCAATTCGAGCAGGTTACTCAATGTAAATTTCTATTAGTTGGCAGCACCATGTCCTACAATGTAGTAGGATGTGACATGCTAGATTAGCTTTATTTTCTTTCCTTCTCTGCCGTTGCTCTGCCTCTTCATGTGACTCAAGCCATGATGCAGCTTGATGAACAAGGAGTTGCCATTCCAAACAATTTTTAGTACATTTCTCATAGTCATTGAGGTCAATTCCATTGTACTTCAAGGTGAACATTAGGGTCTGTTTACAACTGATAACACAGATTTTATGGTGCAGGAAGAGGTCATTTGACCCATCATGCCTGTAGTGGCTCTTCAAACAAGCATCATTATCTAGTCCCAATTTCGTTTTTCCCCATACGTTTGCACAATATTTTCATCCATATGATCATCCATCACCTCTAGAATGCCTCAATTTAATCTGCCTCAATAACATTTACGTGTTTTTCAGCAAACATTTTTTCCTTTTTTTTCCCACATGCATACACTTTAAACTTTGCTTCCAATAAATTATGTGAAAGAGCACACGGAATGTTGTATTTTTCCTGAACTTGAAACAAGAGTATTACAGGAACAATTGATATGCTGCTTTTGTTTCTAAAAAAAAATCCATAAAAAGCGCAAATTCTGTTAATGCCTTTTACTCAATAATTACACTGAGCAGCAATGTTGAACAAAGTCTCTGCTTCGTAACACCAGTGCCTTCTGCTGAAACAGGTGAACAGTGGGTTTTTCTTTTCTGTGAAGCTATTTAGTAAAGTAGTTAACAAAAGCAACTTTTGTAGCACAACTTAATAAAATATTCAAGACACCACATAGGAGTGACATAAGCAAAATTTGACAGTAAACTACATTATCATAGAATCTCTACAGTGTGGAAACAGGCCCTTTGGCCCAACAAGTCCACACCAAACCTCAGAGCATCCCACCCAGATCCGTCCCCTTGTAACCCACCTAATCTACACCTGAACACTACAGGCAATGTAACATGGCCAATCCGCCTAACCTGAACATCTTTGGACTGTGGAGGAAACCCACGCAGACACGGGGAAAATGTGCAAACTCCACACAGACAGTTCCCCGAGACTGGAATCGAACCCAGGTCCCTGGTGCTGTGAGGTAGCAGTGCTAACCACTGAGCCACCGTGCCAGAACATTAGCTGGGTCCCTCGATTAACAGACTAGTGATAGTACCACTAGACCATTATCTCTTGTCTTGGAAACAGTTGAGCCAGCAAAGTGAGGTGCAGAAGGAGGGTTTCACTCTCCTCCATCACAGCTAAACAAAGGCTGACCCGACCAGCAAGCTTGTATTCTGCCGAAACCCAGGATTCAACCAGGGACCTTTAGATCTTCAGTCTAACGCTCTCCCAACTGAGCTATTTCGGCTGGTGAAATTAGTACAGACGGCCAAATGCTTGAAATTCTGTCCAAGATGAAGCATATACCAAGCAGGTTTTATAGCTGAGAATTGTCTTTGGACATTCACACCCAAAATGAATTTACCTCCTGATCAAGAATTATACTTGATACTATCTCACTCTAATTACAATACCTTTCTTAAGAATCTTAAACTAAAATTTTCAACTAAATCACAAAGACACCCCTCAGTTAGTCAGCATGGGATGACCATAGATCTTTGATCCGTTTGGTTTACTTAGACACAGGGCACTGTAAACCCAACACGTCACTTTGACAGTGCCATATCATAATGCACCTCACTTTATCAATAAAAATGGCTTCCATTTAGTAAGTTTACAATTGAACCATGATGATCGGTACCACATCTTAGAGGTCTGTGCCAAATATCCTGGAAGCTGCCGTGATGCCAATATCCTTGATAACTTGCAGGTTCCTGCTTTGATTCAAGGGCTGTGCCTTACAAGGATAGGTTCTCAGAGACCAGTACTACTTCTGCAGCTATGGCTGATATCTCCATGTGGAAACTCCCAACTAAGACCCAGTGTGGAAGCATTGCAGCCCCTTCTTCCACCACGATCATTGTGGAACAGACAGTAGGCCTCCTGATGATAAGGTTCCGATGCTTGGAACAATCTTAGGGTCCTTACAATACAGTCTAGTCAAGAGTCTGCCACATAATCCTCATGTGCTGTGTGCTCTGCATTCCTGGATGAAGCAAAGAGGGTCAGTGATGGACGTTGAAGGGCTGGGAGTACAGCAGCAGTCTGAAGAGGAAGATGGTAACATTAAGCAGGAGAAGCATCACCTTCAGCATGATGGAGTTATATGCAACAAGACCAGTGGATTTAATTGACTATTTCGAGTAGAGGAATTGAATGATTCATTGACTAAATTTTTTGTTGTTCAAAAAGCAAATGGCCCCTGTTTAGTTCCAGAAGCAAATTCAGCTCTTTTGTTTTTGTTTTCTTCATTCACTTTTCCTTTTGTTCAATGAAAGTTAACATTTCAACTGTTTGAACGATGTATGGTGCTCCTAAATTGATAAAATATTATTCTACATGTTAGGGAAGCACTCCCTTACACAGGGTTCTAGTAATGGTGCTAAAGAGAGTTGATTATTTTGTAAGTGAAGCTACACAGGCTGCCCGTCCTTAACACCAATCCATGTTAGACCCCTGCCTAAGGGAGTACTTCCTTAGTATAAGACTTGAGAAAAGACTGAAGGGTACCTTAAAAGGGGCCTTTTAAAATTATGAAACATTTGATAGAGTGGATACAATGTTTCTTGTAGGGAAGATTATAACTGTTGGCCATCAATAAGCTAGCCACCAAAATATCCAGTAACAAAATAAAGAAAACTCTTCACTCAAGTGCAAGGAGGCCTAGCCTGTCAATCTATTCCTGATATGTTTATCTCGCATTTCAAATACTGTTCCAGTATGTTTTCTGCACTCTGTCTTGTACCTCTACATTGTGGTGACCAGAACTGCATCCAGCTCTCTTAAGACCATATCGTTCCCTTTTGAAAGCCTTGATTAAACATACCTCCACTACACTCTCAAATAATGCATTCCAGATTTGCTGCATGAATGTTTTCTGTCCTGTTAATTTTGCTTCTCTGTTAATTACTTAAATCTATGCACTTGTATTCTCAATTCTTTCACGAGTGGTGACGTTTTCCGTATTTACTCTGTCCAGATCTCTCAAGATTTTGAATGCTTCAATCAAATCTCCTCTCGGCCTTCTCTATTCCAAGGGGAATAGTTTCAGTTTCTGTAATCTATCATCATAACTGAAATTCCTCACCCCTGGAATGATGCTGAATGTGCAGGCTAAAGAGGGAAGGCACAAGGTTAGCATTAGGTGAGGTTTTTTTTTGAAGAGCTGACAAAAACACCGTTGGCTGAATGGTGACACAGTATGGAGCTGGAAGAACACAGCAGGTCAGGCAGCATCAGAGGAGCAGGAAAGTTGGCGTTTCAAGTCGGGACCCGAAACGTCAAC